GAACAGTATCATCTAGAAAAAACAGGACAAACCTCGATCGCTCTTGTCATCTACGAGAATTATTTCCTTCAACAAACGCGGAGGTGTCCGATTGACTACGGAATGGACTGTGCGGAGAAGTGCTGAAAAACAAACACTCAGAGATTCTAGTCACTTCACCCATACCAAGACAAAAACTTCCACACAATCGGCATTGAACTAGGAAGCTGCCATACACTGCAATACCGATCTGTTCGAAAACCACTTACAAGAAAAGAACTCATTAGTGAATACGATGACAACAGATGCTGTGGGAAGATGTTGTGGGTACGAAAGAGCAAGACATTCACGTGATCTCGAATCTGGTATACTTCGATCTAACGAGATCTTGTCACTGGAAAACAAATAATACATGTGGAAACCTCTACAGCTTCTTAGAAAATTGCAAACCTAGCAAGCACGTTCATGAAAAAAGTCTTCATTTGTTCCTCGCCGATCTTTCTCTCTTCACCTTCTAGGAACACGGGATCACCATTCTCACCCGGTCCTTCCCGTTTCTTGGAGTAATCGGGGATCTGAAGTGGAATAAACAACAACAATTCTCCAACACCTTCTGGTGCACCCAGCAATTGTTTCCTACCAATTTTAGCCTTTGAAAACGCTTCCGGCATTTGAAGTACGGATTTTAATCGATTTCATGTACTATTCCTCTCAAAAAGAAAAAGGTGTTCGAAGACGACTGTCAAAGAAGGAAGCGCAAAAGAAACCGAAGGAACCTCAAAAAGTGAGAGTCCTCTCTGCTTGTGGGGTCGGCGTGGTACGTGGAGAGATTAAGCAAAGAGGGAATACGCGAGGGAGCAGGCCATGCGATGAGACGCAGACACCACTGTTTGCTGCGCACAGGTAAAAGTGGCAGCGGTCGCAGCGGTTAAGGGAAGGTTTGTCGCCCTTGTCGCGCACTTTTGAGTCGCAGTGGTGCCACGACTAATGTGCTTGGGGACCTCGAGAAGTCTTCATTGGAGACCTATATATCGAAGATGGATCGCTTTATAGATCCGCCGCGACCGCCCGCCTTTAAGTTAAACGTTTAAGTTCACTCCAAAGGTTTTACTGACTCCTGCGATCAATAATTGCGTCGTAAATGCGACAAAAAAGAGTTTAAAACAAACCAGAAAGACTAGTTTCATTTTGAAAGGCATCCCGCCATAATATAGGGAAACGCAGAGACCGTACTAACTTCCATAAGTGTCACGGAGATGTAACTGACTCGACGTTATCAGGGCACCAAACTACTTCCATGGACATATTTAGACGAGAAATAAAATTTTGAATTTTTACGGTTATAATGGTAGAATAGTGCCCAATTTCTTATCAAACGCATTCCCTAGGTAAGACGATATTCAGGAAATTTGAGTGGAAGTGTAATACCGACGTATTCTGACCCACCTCGGTTGGCGATAGGTCGCGCAAAGGTGTGTGCACTACAGCGAGGCAAATTAGAAACAAATTAATCAAAAACACTTGCACTGATATTGAGGTAGTCCAACATTAAGACACATACCGTATGAATTCTCACAAGTGGAGTTTTCTTGTATATTTTCGCACCTTCGCGACTCCATGTGATAAATAAAAACACAGAAATTGCAAAAAGAGTCCAGTTTAAAAGACGAGATCTCTGGCGCGGAGTCAGCAGTGATCGCATTGCTCACCCACCAGAAGAACCCAAAGGTTCCCTGATCCTGAAACCACTTGAAACAGAAGCGAAAAGCCAAACGTGTGACATTTCATGCCCTCGAGAATTGAAGGTAGTATACCACACACTAATTGAACAGGAACTAATTAGAGTGGGACAAACAATTTATTCAGAAAATCACAATGAAAACATCACAAGTGATCATCTACCTCTTCTTATCCCCGAGATCATCAATCATCTCTTCTTGTACCTGAAAGCAAATTTCAAAGTAACCATATGGTAGCAATAAACTAGAGCTCAATTAAGCAATAATAGACTCACCTGAGGCCATTTAGCTGGTATCATATCGAGCAAATCGTCCTTTACATCACCCTGTATGACGATTTCATCAGCACCCGTTACCGAACTACCACACGCAAATTTCTGTGCGAACAGCTTTGAAGCCTGTTTGAGGTCAATCTCTGAAAATG